GATTCTTTCCAATGTTCCCACCTCGAATCCTAGATTGCCAACTTGTCCAGAAGAAAAACGACAGGTTCGCAATCCTTTCATCTACTTTCATCATTCAAGATTTGAGGAGCACGAAAACTTACTTGACATACTGCCGGAAAATTCCATCAAAATCAAGTTTCAACCTCTGATTTCACCAATGGCCAAGGATCCACCAACTCGCTCATGAGCAGCGCCCAGCCAACACGCCAACACTGCACCGGCCAGAAGCTTTGCAAGTCCGGTGTCCGATCGCCCCTGTCAATCTTTTGAAGATAAGCTGTTGGTTTGTAGGTTCTCCGATGGTTGTTTCTCTGTGGTGAAACACTTTAAGTAGCTGGACCTTTGCTAAGCGGCACCGCAGTTGCCCACTGTAAGTCCATCATGGCTTGTGACAACATGTAATGTATCATCCCCCTACGTTGTCCCGGTGAAGCGGGGGGGCGCCTAGATTTTATAAGGAATCCTTGTCAAGCGCAAGTCTGGACATTTCTTTTTTCCTGTCTTGGACTGCCAAAAAGATCTAAATTTTTCCTGGGGCTTAGACAAAATCAGGATGGTATGAAAACAATATTGTCCCTAAGAACACCCCAGGTTAAACAAGGACTTCTTATATTTTCCTGGGGGGATCTAGCCGTGCATGCGGGGGAAGCCCCAAAACAATTTTTTACCAAACTAAAAGGAAGGAAGTTAGGGCAAGAATCCCCAACACCGGCCGCCGGCAAGCAGGGCTTTTGTTTTCTCAAACTGGGGTTTGGCCAAAAGAGCCCTGGACCAATTCACTGGCCCTCCAAGGGCCTCAACATCAGCCTGCCGCTGACAAACGACACCCGAAGCCAGATTTCACCCCTGACAAACGACACCCCCACCTAGGTGGGAGCCAAAACTTAACCATGCAAGATCAAACCTGGGGACAGCACCCCGCCACGTGGCCAAGCACTGAAGAAAAAACATAGTTAAAAGAATTCTCAATGGGGGACGAACTCCTGCCGTCACCTCAACCCCCCTTTTGGCACTCAAGATCCCCTAACTTGCCCTGGGGGCAATATCCTTGGGCAGCATCAGTGACCCTGCGGCAGAAGGGCCGTTGCGAACAAACAGTGTCCGAGGACATCTGTCTGCACAGCCACCAACATGGCGGGTATTTGAGCCACAGTCTCCCAGGATCTTGTTCTTAAATCCTGTCACTGAGACACACAAAAACTCTTTTAAAATCCTGGCACATCCTTGCACGGTATTCTTTATAAAATCCCGCTTACATCTGTGAGAAAAGTTGCTTGCTCTCTATTTTTTCCTGGTGGTGACAATGGACCTGCTCCAGAATCCAGCTTCATAAATTTATATAACAGGTGGTCCCCCTACAGCAAAAAATATAGCGAGTACAGATGAGGATATGTATCTGAGGCCAAGGATTACCTAAAGACTAAAGACTGTTAATTAGAGCAAAATGTCAATCACTGGATCTTTTTGCGGAGTTTGAGCCAATCTGCAGCACCACCATGCACCGCCATGCACTGCCATGCACATTCCGGCAGTTGTACCAACTCCGAAGCACAACAACTCAACGCACGTGAGCCTTTCGGAAAACTCAGAAAAGAAATGCTGCAGGCGGAGAATGCCTCAAAACCAAGAAGGCCTTTTGGGATTTACACACTCCGACACATCGTCCTTGAGACCCAGTTTCGAGGCCAAATCCTCGGATTCTCGGCTTTTGGGACTTCCGAGGCATGTCAGGAAGAAGGTCCATGGTTTGGGCTTGGGCGCCAAGTTATCGCCACCCGTGCGAAAATGGCCGCAGTCCGGCTTGGTCCGGCTCAAGTGCGTTTTCACCAGACATCAGAAGCAACTCAGCCTAACTATTGCTGAGGTCCCCGCATCAAGCAGCTTCATGGCTGTGAAAAATCTCCTGCCAGGCGGGCTGAGGCGCTGGTTGTTCGGTGATGTGTCGCATTTTGTCGCGGGACCTGACCCTTCCTCCGATTCAAAACACCACATTGAACAGACTGTCTGCGTTTGAACAGACTGAGAAAGGCATTCTTGAAAAGAAGGAAAAGAGCTGATGCCAGCACCACCCTAAGGGTGGTTTATGGATTCCCCCTACCATGTTTACTATCCAATAAACCTGTGGCTGGTGCTGGTAGAGGATGGATCAGGCATCGAGTGTAGCTTGACAGGCGAGGCACAAAATCCAGCTGCTCGTTCTGGTCTGCGCCCCTGATGCAGCAGTGCAACTCAAGAAGTTCTCGATTTGTCAAGATCTGAATGAATGTGATGGGGAAGCCAGGATGGTCCATCCTCATGTCAGTCCGTGAAGATCCAAATGTTTAAAAGCGGCCATTTTGGGTCGTCTGCATTAAGTCTAGCATCTTGATCTCGTCATGGCCAAGCCCCAACCCGACCCCCAAAAGGTTTTAGACCATCAATAAAACAAACAATAAGGAACAAGTTTGATGAAAATTGGATACTATTGGCAACCCCCACTTTTTTCATCTGCCCAGGCTCTGGTAGCCAGAGTGAAGAATGACTGCGTCAAGGTGGTCACCATATACTGGAGGGGCGTTGGCGGCGCCTTCCTTCCTTCAGTCGGTTACAATATATATATATATATAATATATATCCTTGCCCTTACTTCTGATGCTCTCTGACTGCGGACCATTTTCTCCGCCCTGACATGAGTGTGACGAGTGAAGCGTCCCAAGCCATGCGAAAGAACTCGAAGTAGCACGGCAGCTTCAACCCGCCGAAGTGGGAAAAGATCGTGAATATATATGGGCTGGGACCTGATCAATTGGAGAGTGACCAACCATGTTCATGCGCTGCTTCGGCAGGGTTTCAGGGTGGCGTGACAGCACCGTGAACATCGGCAGATAGCTGTGCCAAACCAAACTCGCTAAGAATGAGAGATGAGCATCCCAACATCATTGTTGGACGCCAACATGCCCCACCCCTCCCGAGCCCGCCTATACTGCGGTGATATTCGAAGCAAGCCGGTTGAGCCCGGGCCGGGCGAAGAGACGGCGGGTGAAGAACCATCCACCCGGAGGACGGATTGGGCATTCGACATGGAAGGGAGGTCCGGTGATGCAAAAGCAGCACTCAATGAGGTGATGAATCACCAGGTTTACCTTGATTGTAGAGGATGGTCAACCCTTCCATTAAAACACAACGCGGGTCCGGACCGGGATCGGACCCGAGTGTCAACGGTCTAGAGGGGTCTCTTCTGCAATAGATGGGTCTCTGAATCGCGCGGTCTGTTCACCGAATCCTTCCCCGCCATGCACCGTCTGGTCTCCTGTTCAACGAAGTGGTCTCCTAAGTGGTCTCGTCCGCATCGTTTGATGTCTCGGGAGTCGTAGGGCCTGTCGCATGTCCGACTCACCCTGTGACCTTGTGGACTGTCCCATCGAATCGAAGACGGCGCTCCCAGGGCACTGGAACGCACATGCCACCTGAGCGGGGCAGAGTTCACGAGTGAACCAGATGGTCACATTTCAGAAGAGGGTGTGGCACATGCACAGCGTTCAAGAAAGCCTACCGTAGAGAGGACCCGAGAAGAAGAAGAAGAAGAAGAAGCTGCCAAAGAGTACCAAGAGGCAAAGAGGAAAGCTCTTCATAGACGCCAAGGTAACTCAGTGCTACCGCCGTATCGGCGAGAGATGGGACGAGACGAAAGCGACCGAAATGGCGCCATCTGAAGCAACATCGGTCAGGGCGCAGGGGATGTGGCATGAACGTTTGGGGAACCGAACACTCCGTTGTCTTTCATGCGAAAGAAAGCACACTTTTCGAAGACAGATCTGAAACTCGGTTTGAGATATGTCCCATTTCACTCGGGGTCGCTGAGGGCTTGAACGGTGTACCCCCCATTCCTCTGAAACAGGTCATCAATTCGCCAAAATCGGTCTGCGGCGCCTGCGCTGCTTTTTTACTCCTCGGAAAAACAGATCAGCTACCTTCAACTGGCACTAAGGCATAGGAAAGACGCTTCCTCACCTTCGCCTGGCGAAGAGTGCGCCACACTTCAAAAAGGACGTGGCGGCATGGTACCGTGTTGCGAGAAGGAATGGTGAGCTATTTCTGCTACGAGTCCGTAAGGAATTTGTGAGCTATTTCTGCATGGAGGGATATCATGTACTTCGACACCCAGGAGTCATGGGATTGCCCCCAAAGATGTTGACTGAGAATGCGCTCAATTCCTTGTAAGTCACAATGCTAAAGGGGACTTTGCGCATTTCAGGCTTTGGCATCGGTTTTGGAAGTTTCGGATGAAGGAATTTTTGTGGAAATGTTGTGACATCCATAGACACTTTCACTCTGAACATTTTATGCGAACAAAACTGCAAACCCTACATGGTCAAACCCTAATGATCCCAATAATTAGATGATTGGTTGGGGAGGCGAACCATGCTTTCTGAAACGACTTCTACATACTTCTGAGTCATCTCTTCATGCTCAGGACCTTTCAACATCCGAACGGAGACCCGAAGCTCAGGCGCCACCCGAACAGCCACACATGCGCCCACTGGCACCTGGAAACGGGCCATCTCCGCCATCGGTCCTCCGCCCCGGGACGCTCGACACCGTCAGCACCCCGCTCCCACCTCCACCATGGTGTTGTGGTGGGCATTGTGCATCGTGGGCTTGCTATACTTCCGAAGATCCAGTGCCTCACGGGCTTCCGGACCGGCGCCAATCGAGGTGCACCAACCGTGAACCAGAAAAGGGGAAGGTCCTTGTTCCACGCCGAACTCGTTCGATGCACAGGTTTTGAGCAATTCCCTTCCGTTCGACACCCGGCTGTACAACCAACCAACTACCACGACAGCCGCGGACGTCTTTGGTGCGTTCCGACTTCTAGGTACGTGAAGTAGAACCAACTTCCGCGTTCTATCATTCTTCCGCGTGTTTCTTCTGTCGGATTTGTTGGATTCTATGAGAGTCTGCATAGCGTGAATTGGTCGACGCCAACGCTGAGTAGCTTTTCATGACGCCAACGCCCGCATGATGAACATGCATGAACGATCGATGGTGTGGTGTTTTCCGTCCGCCCGCTGACGGTTCAAGACCGTCTCTGAGAAGGGCACCTTGAAGTAGTGGATGGTCTTCGTCAAGCCTTCTCTGAGCTGCACCTTTCCAAGTACGAACCGAAAGCTGAACTACAAATGCTGAAGGATGCTGAAGGGATCAGTAGAATCATTAGACGTACTAGAAATGGACAGCTTCCAGGCCAATGACTACCGCCCACAGCTTGGAAAGCGCCCTTCATCACGCCCATCAAAAAGCACCTTGGGCTCCCATTCCAGCAAGGCTTTCGCCCGGGTGATGTTGGGCCGACGCTGCTTTGGGTCGTCGCCGGGCAAAGGCAAGAACACGATCTTACCTGGGAGGCCCATGCGGCACCCGAAGTGGGACATCCCGGACTCTGGGAACAACAAACATTGCAGCCACATATGGCAGCCACATGTTGCGGCCAGGTCAATCAATGTCATCCCGGCCGCTTCCAAGGCCGACCCGACACAATTCTCTGGCCTGTGAAACATCATTGGGGAATGGTCACACAAAATCGTCAAATGAGCCTAGCTGTCCAAAAGGTGTTTCAGGACTGCCTAGCTGCGACCTGTCATCGCCAACTGCTATACTGCGGGACGTTGATCGACGCTTGGCTGCCAGCAATTGGGGGGACCACTGCATTGTATAATGTAATGATGAAGAGGTTTACTTTACAATCCAAATGGCCAATGGGATTGATCTAATCTAGATTCTACATGAACGGAACGTTCTACCACCTTCCTCAACTCAAGAACAACACGCAGCAGCTCACTTCCTGCGTGAAACGAAGCACGGCGCACTCCCCGCAGCGACGCCGACCAGTTCGGGACCAGCAGAGGGGTCTCCCAGGTGCTGCCGGGGAGCAGAGGATGGAAACGGATGTGATGTGACTGATGTGATGTGTGGAAACGGGTCAGTTGGTCACACGACTCAAGGGGGTCAGTTGGACCAGGTTGAGCAGATTCAGGACTGGACTTGCATCGAACATCGAAACCAGACCCTTCTCGGCCGCCTTCACTCCAGACCGGTCAGGTTCAGCGGTTCACTCCAGACACGGGGTCTCACATCTTTGGGAGCTTTTGTGCCTCCCAAAAACGGGTCTTCCCAGCTCCCATCCGTCCGTCTTCCTTAAAAAAGGAGCTTTTGGATCCCGTCAGCTCGATGATCATCTCCGCCAACTCCTCACCGTTCAGAAAACCGCCACGCCAAGAAGCAAACAGCACCATGGAGGCCACCCAAAAAAGAAGAAAACCCTACACATGTGACACCCATTCTTTAAGGATCATCAAGCTGCACCTGTCTTTCTTCCGGCCCAGCCAAAGGTGGCCCACAGCTGTCATTTCGATAAGAAGCGATTGGATGCTCCGCGAGAAGAAGCGATTCATCATCTTCTTCAACTTCACTCACTGCAACAAACAATGACCAAATGCACAAAATGACCATCACTCCCGCCGTGTTTTTTTGGCCGTTTATTTTCCTAGTTGCAAGACACACCCCATTTGGTATCGTCTCTTCCAGGAGGTCTTTTGGGTGTCTTCATCTGTTTAATACGCCCACGTAAACATCCTCAAACATCTATGACCCATACGGTGTCTCCATGGACTCGGACCTTTGAAGGTGTGTATCCTTCACGGTGAACTCGTTGGGATTGCCAATGTTCACCGGCCCAATGGTGGCTTCCTTGGGTTGGAAAGCGCCAGGCCGGCGACCAAGAGATGCTCACAGGATCAGAGCAGTGCCACAGGATCAGACCACTCCTCTTGAGTCACAAACCCCTGCTTCCCTGATAAACATCAAGAGACGTGCCAAAGTGATTCGTCTATCAACACATGTTCACTCACACTGATTGGGGGGCTGCTCTTCAGTTCCTCTTGCTACACATCCCATATCACCAGAGATGCCTCTCTAGGTGTGCGCTTGTTCATGTGCTTTTCTGAGATCTGCGCTTGGTTCATCAGTCGAATGAGCCCATCCACGGTGTCGTCCACGTAGCCAAAGGATCTCGTCTGCGAACCATCGCCATAGATGGTGATGTCCTCGGGCGTTCCGGGCGTCAGGGCTGGTCCCATGGAACCTTGGACATCGAAAAGAACATCGGACATCCTCAGATTTGGGGGATTTGTCTACTTGGTGGAAAGGGGTGAGTCACGTCATGTCAGGCGATCTTGGTTCTTCATCGCCAACCGCCAATGTGGATCGGATTGGGAAATGGTCAGTCCATTCGGTCCTCCCCATGGAGGGCTTGCAGGATGAAGTTGCTCACCACACGGCCATCATAGGGATGCATACCTCGTTTTCAAGGATGGATGTACAGGGTCGACCAAACTGAAAACTTCCACTCACTCAGAGAAGTCTGTCGGTTTCTGAGTAAAGCTCATCTCAGTGGAAAATATTGGAAAATAACTATCTTCGTTGAGGATTCTTCTACTGCCGCTTGAAGACTACATGCCGCCACCTATCTCTCTCCACAATGATCCAATTTCAAGATGAAAAACCGAAACAAAGAAACCTGCAGATTGGGTTTCCATGGGTGTAACAAGTGCATCGCTACTAGTAACAAGGGCATTACTAGTAGTAGCTAGAAACTACTAGTAACAAGTGCATGGCTACTAGTAACAAGGGCATTGCTACTGGTAGCTAGAAGCTGCTAGTAACAAGTGCATTGCTACTAGTAACATGCGCATTACTACAGCACCAGTAACAAGTGCATTGCTACTAGTAGCAAGGGCATTACTACTAGTAGCATCTAGTAGCTACTAGAAACAAGCGCATCGCTACGAAAGTAGCAAGAAAGAAACCGGGAGACCCCATGGGACCTCCGAGAAGGAACCTCTAACACGTGTTGGACATACGTCCTGCAAAGCACTGAAAAGCTCCCAGAAGACAAGGGAATCCACTACAAACAACCTTGAGGACTTAAATTCGATGGTTGGATAGTGATCCCAAACAAAAAGGAATGGATAGAATTGATTCGTTTGGAACGTGTATCACTTGCTTTTCCTTTATTCGCCCAAAAGGTCGCAACCCGGTCTCAGACCGGCCTGGCCCATAGGTGTTGAAGATCCGTGCGACGCGGATGTCTACGTTGTTGCCTTGGATGGGCGTAAACATACACCCGATCAACACACGTGTTTGAGAACACCCGATCGCCTTCAGGGAAGACCATTCAAAAGAATAGTTTACCTGGTTTTGCAGTGTAAAATCCTTAGTAAAACAATAATGGTTCTTTGGGATTCAGACCATGAAATCAATGGTTGTTGGAATCCTGGGGAACATGAAAACCAAATCACCCCAGTCGGAGTCCATTGAACACCCCTAATCACCAATAAGAGGCCCCAAGACAAAAGAAAAATAAATAAACCGAGGGGTCTAACTATCTGTAACCATGTACCGAGTTTTTATAATTAGTACAAATGTTGAAGAGTTATGTAGTAGTGTAGTGATCTGAACAAAGATTCTCTATCGGTGCTCCCGGATCTGTTCCTGCAATATGCCAGGTTGCTGCGGAGGTAGTCGAACGCCAACGTCTCCGCGACACGTTTACCCTCATCATAGCAAGACCTAAGTGTTGACTGGTGAGTGGATTACCTAAGGACAAGCACCGCAATCTTGCTCTAGGTTCCAATATATATATATAGTTATAACTAAGTATATATGTATAATGTGGTAGGGACCTTTGGGGTTCATTTCGCTCGTGATAGAATGTGTACCCTTGACGAACCTTCCCAGCTGCTCACATCGTGAAATCGAATAGGATTATGTATAAACTACCTGCTATAATATTTGTGCTCCTTCATTGGTATAAAGATTGATCATATTAACATTATCAATCATCAATTTGCAAATAGTGTGAAAAATTGATCATAAACATCTTGTTCCTATCCTTTTCCAGAAGATTAATATCTAAAAACATATGTGGCTGTTCAGTGGCTGTTTCATAAAGTTTATATAAGACCTGCTTACTTTCTTGGATATTGTTTCTTTTCTTCTAGGTATTGCTGATAGTTCTTTTTGAAACAGTTCTATTTCTTTAAAGTTGCTGACCTTGTAGAAGAATAGGTGTGTGGCATTAACTCTTATCAGTGTGGTCAGTGCATTAAATTTGTGAACAGATGTTATAACACTAATACCATTGTGTCTACCTCTTACATAAAGGGAATCAAATATGTTTGAATATCTTGCTATTTTGGGATCATCTGCTATATCATCCAAGACTATTAGGATTGTTTTTTTTATTTATGTTTTTTTAACTGTATTCAGTTATTCTATGTTGTGTTTCAATGACTTTCATTAAATCTTCACTGTGAAAGTCTTCAAACAAAACCTGCTCTTTACCAGTGTTCACTTTCATTTCTTCCTTTATGTATTTCTTGACTGGCAACCAGATGCTATCAACATTTATTGAAGGTGACCAGATATACACCCTTGAAAAACTTCCTTGTAGGTGTCCATATTCATGTTTGTTAGTAGCACTGATTTGCTACTACCAGACGGACCGGTTATGATTGATCTAAAGGGCACTTTAGAGGCAACAGCATATTTTGATTGAGTGAATTCATAATTGATTTCTTTGATAGGTTGAATATGTGGTGCGGTGTTATTATTCATCTATTAATAAAAATACATAGAAAACATTATTAAATATTAGCAGATCTCCTATGGACAGAGTGCGGTAGGTGAGGCTACGCTAATCCGCATAAGTCGGTAATTAGTTTGCTTTTCAGCAATGGATTTTTTGCCCTTACAGTTGAATTCGTTTTTAGTGTTCTCCCAAGCACTACATAATTAGATGGTGTTAAAGCATTATCTAATTATAGTTATATATTATGACGCTATCTGAACATGATGCTTATATAACAGGAAGAGATGATATGGAAAAAAATGATAGTGCTAAATATCCAGTTGTTAAAGATAATAAACTTAAGCAGTGTTGTAAATACTCACTGGAAATGTCAAAATTGATAATTACTTATCTAAAATGTAATATTATACATGCCACCAAAAAAGACAAAAAAACAACAAAGATGAATAAAACACAAATCCCCGAAGAGTTTGAACTAGCAGATGAAGAACCAACAACAATAAAACTAGATGAAGAACAAAAACTAACAAGCAAATTCATTACCTTTGACTGTCCTTTATGCCAGGGAAAACTACAACTGAGAATGAAATTGAAATCAACACTAAAGGCAAAAAGTGTAAGTGTAATCCATATAGCTTTAAAATCAGCAAGAGTGATAAGATAAGACTATGAAAGTTTCAAACGATGATGGTGGATCTATTACTTTAGATAATACTGATAAAATGGATGAGCTGATAAAGAAAATGAACAGATATAATAATAGTCTTAAATTGATCTTACAGTTGTTAAAAACCATTGATGAAAAGACTAATGAGAAAAAATGATTTAAGGAAAATGGAGAAGCATCTGAAAAGAAAAGCATAGGTAGACCAGTAGGGGACTTTGAAACCAAAAGGAAGCAGTATTTAGAAATGTTGAATTCAAAAATAATAAAGCAACCTAAAGAGACCACCATACAATGTTACAAAATTGATTATGATGAAGACACTGAAACATACTCATGATAATATATTTTCTATGACAACATATTATTATGAAATTATAACAATTATACAGGTTCACACTTTGATGGCACACAGGAATCGAGACAATACATGGCATATATGCATTTTTTGATGAAACACATCGAGGATCTGAAAGGGCCATGTGTGCCATCATAGTGGTCAGTTGATGCTTGGGGGGATCGGCATTGTAATCTACTAGAGCCGTTTGGCTGGTATGCCATCTTATTGTTTGTTGCAGGCCTTAAGGGTGTTGTCCTCTGTTTGCTGGTCTCTCTCTCTCTCCCTCTCTCTCTCTCTCTCTGTCGACGCTTTCCAGTTCTCCCACACCAGAAACTCAGTTTCCGCAAAGAACCTTTTCCATCCAGCAGCCCCAAGAGTGTCATGCACTGTAGGTGTCCTGTTTGTATAGTTTCTTTCCTTTGCTCCTTCTCTTGGACTTCATTCCATTTGCTGGATTCTAGTATGAGACTAGCTCGCTCTCACTCTCACTCTCTCACTCTCTGTAACTCCCTCTCTCTCTCTCTCTCTTTGTGTGTAGTGTGCCATCTTAGCGTTCCTATGTTCAATTCATTTCATTCTTCTTCCCTTCCTCACTCCCTGCCTCTTCTTTCCCTTTTGCTTTGTGCCCTGCTCTCGCAGCGGACCTACCATTGTTGTATATAATGGTCCTCTCCATTCGGTATGCTGTTCCTGCGTTAGTGCATATCATTTCCTCACGTGCCATCTTAACGTTCCTATGTTCAATGCATACCACTCTTTCCTCGCATCCTTTCAACTGCCTTTATCCTTGCCGTTCTATTTAGTATTCTTTTCATGCCCTTTAGCCTGTTTGGACATACCTCAATTACTTGCCAGGGGTTCCAGGACGTCCTTAGTTATGTTAGTTCCTCTCTCTCTCTTTCTCTCTCCCACCGCGGCTCCCTGAACAAAGGCTTAACCAAGATCAAATAAGGTAGCCTGTGCAGCAGGCGCCTTATCTCATCTTATATACGTATATATATATATTATATGTGTGTTTTTTTGGGGGTGTCCTTTCCTGTCTGTATAGTTTCTTTCCTTTGTTCCTTCTCTTGGACTTCATTCCATTTGCTGGATTCTAGTATGAGACTAGCTCACTCTCACTCTCACTCTCTCACTCTCTGTAACTCCCTCTCTCTCTCTCTCTCTTTGTGTGTGGTGTACCATCTTAGCGTTCCTATGTTCAATTCATTTCATTCTCCTCCCTTCCTCACTCCCTGCCTCTTCTTTCCCTTTTGCTTTGTGCCCTGCTCTCGCAGCGGACCTACCATTGTTGTATATAATGGTCCTCTCCTCTCAGTATGCTGTTCCTGTGTTAGTGCATGTCATTTCCTCATTCCCTTCCTCCCCCTCCCTCCCTCTCTCCCTGCTTGCCTTCCTCCCTCTCTTTTACTTTTCTTTTGTGAATGCAACCCCAGCACTCTCAAAGAACCCCGCTCTCACAGCGGCCCTGCCATTGCTTCAGTGTATTGGTATGTCATTTGAGTGTTCCTATTGTCAAAGCTCAATTTTGCGCTGAAATCTTTAATCTTTGATGGCATATTTCAACCATTTTACTTGTGCCATCATTTCGTGAACCCCTATATTGTCAGGCACAGGTAGTGTTGGAAGAATTGTTAAAGAACTTGGTTATACTATTATATCACTTGATCTTAAAAATGCTAGTATCAATGAGGATATTTTGAAATTTGATTATAATAAATTTGACAACGACTTTGATGTTACTTGGTCATCCCCGCCTTGCACTGAATACATCATAGCAAAACAAACAGGCACTAGAAAAATTGATGAAGCAAATGAAACAGTGAAGAAAGCTATTGACATAATAAACTATTTTGATCCAAATGTTTTCGTTGAAAACCCCCCAGACCGGACTTTTGAAGGAGCAAGAGTTTATGAAAAACTTCGTTTTTTGATGTTGATTATTGTAAAGATGGAATGGCATACAGAAAACGCACCAGACTTTGGACAAATATAAAAACTTGGACACCTAAACCATTATGTAAAAAGAACTGCGTACAAATGGAAGGGAATAGGCATAGGGAAACAGCACAAAGGGCACCTAGCAATAGGAAGGAAACATGGCCTGAAAACTTGAAAACTATACATTGTTTAATCAGAAGGAATTATACATAATCCCAGAAGAGTTGATCAGATAAATATTTATATAATGCTATAAACTAGATATTTACTATTCTAATTTCTTCTATGAGAGACCAATGGGGGATGTTCACCTGACCAATACTTAAAGGGATAGTAGCAATAGGTACTAAGGAGATGAAAGGTGATAAGTTTGAGAATGTGTATTGTCAGGTGTGTGAGTGCAATGTGAGGAAAAGTGGATGGGGGAAGCATAAGAAAACAAATACGCATATTGAGAATGCTCAGGGTGGAGGTGAGGAAGTGGAGAAGAGAAGGTGTGGACAGTGTGGATGTAATAAGGAATTGGGAATGTTTAATGAAAAGAATGCGACTTGTAATGTGTGCTTAGACAGATGGAAAAGGTGGGTGGGGAGGAATGTTGAGAAGAAGAAGGAGATTGATAGAGCTTGGAGAGAGGAGAATAGGGAGAAGAAAAACTAATATGATCGGGAATATAGTTTGATTGAGATGTGGTGTGAGGTATGTGCGTGCAAGGTGAGAAAATGTAAGTGGAGAAGACATATTGAGAGTAGGAAGCATAGGATGGGTGGGGAGTGGGGATGATGGAAAAGATGGTGTGGGGGGGAGATGGGGGAAGGGTGGTCAGGTGAACATCCCCCCTTGGTCTTCCCCTACTAACATATCTGAAAATGGAGAGAATATCGGACTCGCTCAATAGGATTACAGGATCACATCTTCTTCCGTGTTTCAACACCAGTAGAGGCCCCGATCCTTCCAATCATTCATGTGATCCATAGAAACGCATTCAAATCGCATGTTTAACTGTTGTGTTTGGCCCGAACTCCCCCACAACT